CCCCCCCTTCCAGAGTTAGATGATTGTACTGACCTGGTGAATTCCTCAAACTCCTTAAAGTGCATTTTCTTTGGTGGTTTCCTAGTGGGTAAGAGACAAAGAGGTACCTTGTCAGGAGAGGGGAAATCCAGGTTGATGGGGCCTCAGAGAGTAGGTTGGGGGCCTCAGGGATTGGTCCATCTCTGAGTTCAAACCAGAGCTTTGAAAGGAGAATTGTTTCTCTCTGGGTTGGGGCCCTGACTCTGTCCTCCAATGCTCCAGGAGAACACATAGTGGGCTTGGGTCAGCCAGACCTGGGCTCATAACCTGACTGGCTGGGTGACTCTGGGCAAGTCACTTCCCCTTTCAGAGCCTCAGGTCTCTAATTTCCCAGAATGGAGATTAAGTTATGAGAGATGCTCAATAATCTAAATCATTTCTAGGCCCCTGGCTTCTACTTCCCCTGCCAGGGCTGAATCCAGCCTTGGAGATAGGATGGTAAAAACTAACTCTCCAAACCTTGGGCCTGGCAGACATCTCCAATCAACCACAGCACTCTTTCCCAGCAAGCCTGCATTCTGCCTCAGAATCTTACACGGCACAGTCTAAGTAGCAACACAAAACCCATGTCCATCCCTGCCCTAAGTGACCTCTCTTTATCTTTTATATTTGTGGCTTACCTAAACATGGACAAGAGTCCCTTTCTTAGGTTCCCACCTGTGGTCTGTAGCACCCCTGACACTGGGCCCATAATTGGTGAAGGGGCCTCCCAATTCTCTAAGAAGGGTCTCTTTTTTAATCTTTTCCAGGGAGCTTGAGATCATGTAGGATGTGGCCAGGAGAGTAGCTGTGTGACAGTGAGGCAAGATGGCTGCAGACCTCAGACATATGCCGGGGGTGACACTGAGGACTGGCCAGGCTTGGTGACTTGGTTGGACATGCAGGGTTAGGATAGAGACACTGGTGCAATATGACATCCCAAGTATGTCAGCAACCCAGCTTCTGTAACTAAAAGACAACAGCAGGGCAGGAGGCAAAGGGAAAGGGGAAGGGGGTCTGACACTCAGCTTGTCGGTCTTCTTAGCCACAGGCTCTTTGAAGCCCAGAGACCTGAGCTGGGATGAAGTTGGGCCGAAGATAAAGTCCGAGTAGTAGCCTCCTGGCTGCCGGATCGGGCGCACTTGGTCCTTCTGGAAAATGATCTTGTCCCCCGGATACAGCAGGGCTGTGAGCAGCAAGAGAAACATGGCCTGCCAGCCCAAGACATGCCCCGCCCCCCCCTTTTGTTTAAAAAGATTTTTTTATATACATTTTTTAACTTTTAATTTTTAAATTATTTTTATAGATTCAAAGTAAATTGCAAAAATAGTGCAGAGGGTCCCTTAGACCCTTTCCCCAGCTTCCCCCAACCATGACATGACATATATAGGCATACCTTGTTTTATTGCACTTCGTTTTATTATGCTTCACAAATGGTACTTTTTTTTTTACAAGTGGAAAGCAAAGCCGTCTACCAGTAAAAAGATTATGACTCGTTTTATTGGGATACTGGCTTCTAATTATGGTGGTCTGGAACTGAACACGCAGTATCTCCAAGGTATGCCTGTAACTGTAGTGCAGATCAGGAAATGGAGTTGGTAGAATACTGCTAACTGGATTAGAGACAAGGGAGTTTGTTTATAACCAGGTCGGCAATGGCCCTGGGGCTGGGGTGTAATTAGGGTGGAGCACGAGACCCCATATCCCACTCTGCAGGGGTGTCCTGGTCAGGAGTCCGAGGAGGAGGTGTGTGTGAGGAATTCACCTGAGACTTCAATAGGTTAACTTAGACCTAGCTGATGGCAGTTTTCTCTTTACCTAGAGTTAGTCTCACAGACAACCTTGGGAGACTTTTCTAAGAAGTACAGTACATAAAAAACGCTGGGCCAGGGTTTTCATCTTCCTGCAACTATGGAGCAGTGCTTGTTCTAAGATGGTAACACCTGGGGCCCTGGCCCAGTAGCTCAGTTATTTACAGCATCGTTCCCACACGCCAAGATTGCAATTCAATACCTGGTCAGGGCACATACAAGAAGCAACCAATGAATGCATAAATAAGTGGAACAACAAATTGATGTCTTTTTCTCTCTCTTCCTGTCTCTCTCTCGAATCAATAATTTAATAAAAATTTAAAAAGTTGGTAACATCCAAAAACCCCATGTTCTAGAAAATTAGTGAAAGGTTACACTCCTGGTTATTAATGTTGGTTATTTGTGGGGAGTGCAGGTGAAAAAGGAGAAGAGGGAAGGAGATATGTAGCACCACTTCAAAAAAGTATATAGGTTTTTTTAAAAACTACAGTAAAAAAATATATACATGATTTTCAAAAGTGATTACATAATTTTGTGTAAATGGAAAAGAAAAATAGGTTTGTGAAAGGACAGTCACTAAAATATTAATGGTGGTCAACTCAGGCTGGAGGGGGATTTTTATTTTTTTGTGTTCAAAAGAATTTTTTAATGTTTTTTAAAAAATTGATCTTAGTGCCCGGCCGGGCATGGCTCAGTGGTTGAGCATCGACCTAGGATCCAGGCAATCGGGGTTCGATTCCCGGTCAGGGCACATTCCCAGGTTGTGGGCTAGGCAGCCGATCAATGACTCTCTAATCATTGATGTTTCTCTCTCTCTCCCCCTCCTTTCCTCTCTCTGAAATCAACAAAGATATGTTAAAAAAAATAAAATTTGATCTTAGAGAGGAAGGGAGAGGAAGAGAGAGAAACATCAATGTGAGAGCAACACATCCATTGGCTGCCTCCTGCACGCCCCCTACTGGGGATTGAGCCTGCAACCTAGGCATGTGCCCTGACTGAGAATTAAACCGGTGACCTCTTGATTCATGGGTTGACACTCAACCACTTAGCCACACCAGCTGGGCTGTTTTCAAAAAAATTTAAGTGAGCAAGTATTATTTATAAAATACGGGGGAGAAAAACAATGAAGCTATATTTGCTGGGGAGAGGGGAAATGCCTCAATGTTCTAGAATTCTGGCCCACAAGCTTGAGACCTGGAGTCTGAGCTCACCAAGTTCTAGTCTAGAACACATCCTTGAAAGTCCCGATGCTTGTGCTTGTCTATAGCAAAGCAAGCCTCTGTCATAAAAACAGCCAACGATAGTGGCCAGGACAGTGGAACTTGTACACTTCCAGTATTCTTGAAACCCCATCTAACAGCAAAACATGCCAAGCTGTTCTTCCCCTCCCATCCTTCCTTCTTCCCAGTGTCCCCACCACAGGCCACAGTGGCTCTAGTCACAGATGGAACTTGGTCTTTCCATCTAGGCCAATCAAAGGCAAAAGGAAGCCCACCACAGATGCTCCTGTGTCCCCATGAATATGAGATCCTGGCAAAAGGGGAAGCTCACAGACCCAGGAGCTAGCAAAAGCCACCATGGAGAGAATACGTAGTTGCTTGATGTTCTGGCAGGACAAAGAATCCACATCCAGAAGAAGTATCTGACTCACAAGAGTAGTCTGTGGTGCATGGCAAGCCTGCCCACATTTCAGAAGACAGCTGCAGCTCCACCACTAACCCAGAAGAAGGGATGTAAAGATTAGGGAAGACAAGGCTCCCTGAGGAAGGAGGAAGGGAGGATGATTTGGTGAAAAGTCAGTGCTCAGAGCTGCAGGATCTCCTGTCTCTGCCCCCCCGGCTGAGGCAAGGCAGCAAGTGGCCACCCAGTAAGGATGTGCAGCATGTGCAGGAAACAGTGACCATTTAGGTTGGTTTGTTCCTGAAGGCCCTTGGTCACATCCTCCTGGATAGACCTGTTATGGCTGAATTGTGTCCCGCCCCCAAATTAATATGTTGAAGCCCTAACTCCTAGAACATCAGAATTTGTATTTGGAGATAGGGCCTTTCAAAAGGTGATGAAGCTAAAATAAGGCTGTTAGGGTGGACCCAAATCCAATCTGACTAGTGTCCTTATAAGAGGAAATATGGACACTAAGAGAGACACAGGGGTATATGTGCACAGAGAAAATACCATGTGCAGAGGCCGCCAACCCAGGATTGAGGCCTCAGAGGAAACCAATCCTGCTGGCACCTCGATATTGGACTTCTGGCCTCCAGAGTTGTGAAAAAATAAATTTTCTGTTGTTTAAGCCACCCAATCCGAGGTATTTTGGTATGTCAGCGCTAGCAAACTAATACAAGACCCTAGGTCTTATACATTTAGCACTTGTTTCCCTTCCCCTTGGGAAAGGATGGAAATAATAAATTGTGACTGTTAACTGGTTTTTTTTAAGCAAGACTTTTGTTACTTTTCTCTTTTGGATTTTTAAGATAGAGAGTAAGAGAAAGAGAGAGAGAGAGAGAGATCGACCTGCTGCTCCACCTATTTATGCATTCATTGGTTGCCTCCTATATGTGCCCTGACCGAGGATCAAACCCATAACCTTGGCATATAGGGGCAACACTCTAACAAACTGAGCTAGCAGGCCAGGGTGTGACTGTTAACTCTTGTTCTTGGGTAATTCTCACCACTCTCTGTGTGCCCTTTCTCAGAAAAACTCATTTCCCAGTATGGTCACAGCTTCTGCAAAGTTCCTACGGGAAAACCTCTGCCCTCATGCAGCTTGCCGTTCACGTTTTTTAAGCACAGAGAGGAACCTACCTATTACATTTATAAATTCATCAACTTGGGATGCCAGCATTGCTCTGTGATCATCAGGAAAATATGGAGACACCTCCTGCCCCCACCTCTCAGAAGCACACACTCTGCCCAGAGACATGGAGGGTTCAGGTCCGTTTGGATGTATGAAAACACAATTTTTCCCTCAAGCAGAGGGTGGAACCAGCATGGAAATCTCCATATTGAGCCTCTTGTCTGAGCAGAGAGCAAAGGGCATCAGCAAAACCTGACTCCTGATGTATTCCTATCTCAGTGTTGCAGAAAAACCAAAAAACAGGTCTGACCTAGGGAGGTGGTTTTGGGAACTGATAGCAGTTTCACTTCTATCAAATCTCTCTCTTTGAAATTGGGATTGTTCCTTTATGCTCAACTTCAGGGCTACCTTGCCCAGAACTTNGGAACTGATAGCAGTTTCACTTCTATCAAATCTCTCTCTTTGAAATTGGGATTGTTCCTTTATGCTCAACTTCAGGGCTGCCTTGCCCAGAACGCCTGTCCTTGGAGCTTCCTGCTCTAGAATGCCAATTCACCAAGCTCAACTGGGGAACCCAGACCTCCAGGCATGTACAGGATTCTAAAACTCCCATCTAACAGCAAAACAGGCTTGACTGTTCTTTCCCTCCTCCCCCTCCTTCCCAATGTCCTCACCACAGGTTACAGCAGCTTGGCTGGGTGCATGTCAGCTGGGGAGGAACAAACCTCAGGTGGACACCTGAGGCATTTTTCTGGGGCCAGTCCCCAAGGCCCTTACCTTTTATGAGGATGTCTTCTGTCAGTGGGAGTCTGTAGTACTCACAGAGCTTCTGGCACTGCAGGTAGACCAGGAAGGTGTTCCCGCGGAACAGGTTGATAAGTCTATCCATCTTCCTACCGATGGTGGATGGGAGGCAGTGGTTGTCAAAATGTTTATTCCCACTGCGCACCAGGCGGCACCGCTCTGTGTACTGGATGGAGGGGATCGTGAGCTGCAAGGAGAACAGAAGTTGGCACACACTTCCCTTCGCCTTGCCTCTTTCCTCCTGGCCTAAAGGCTGACAATCTACTTTTCCCCACTAGGCCCCAGGAGGGGCAATGGCAAAGAATGTACAGTGGGACACCAAGTTCAGGTTTTGAAGTCAGCGACTCCGGAGAAAAGTCACACACGGTCAAGGTTACCTTTGAAGAACACTTGAATGATCAGCGCATGCAGCCCTGTATAAAGATTTGCACACGTGATTGTGTAATATATACAATAGTGTGTAGTGCAACTGCCCCACATGTGTCCCATTGAAACATTACATTCAAGGGTTTAGTTGCATGAGAATTTAAATTAGGTGCAGCCATCTGTGACTTTGAGGTGGAAGCCAAACGTCAAGGATGGCAGAGTGAGGTAGGAGAGGCCTGGGCAGTGTGTAGTCACTTTTGGCCTTCTTATTTGTTTATTTATAAGAAAATACAATCTATTTTATTAAAACTTCTAAAGCCAGAATCAGTAAAGTACAACTTATAGGCCAAATCTGACCCACCACCTGTTGTTTTTGTTTGTTTGTTTTAATCTTCACCCAAGGATATTTTTTTCCATTGGTTTTTAGAGAGAGTGGAAGGGAGGGAGGGAGGGAAAGAGGGAGAGAGAGAGAAACATCGATGTGAGAGCGACACATCAATTGGCTGCCTCCTGCATGCATCCCGACTGGGGTTAGGAGTAGAGCCTGCAACCGAGCCTGCAACTCTAGCCAGAATCAAACTCAGGACCCCTCAGTCTGCGGGCTGGCGCTCTAACCACTGAACAAAACCAGCTAGGGCCTACTACCTGTTTTTTTAAATAAAGTTTTATTGAAATACAAGTGCACTCATTTGTTTAGCTGTGGTCTGTGGCTACTCCTGTGCTCCAATGGCAGAGCTGACTGGTTGTGACAGACACAATAGGGCCCAAAAAGCCTAAAATATTTATTATCTGGCCACTAACTAGGAAAGTTTGCCACTCACTGCTCTAATTTTTTGGGTTTTCTTGTCATGCAACTGAATCAGATCTTAGTTGGTATAGCACTTATCAATACCTAACATTTTATTATATATAAAACATTAAAATATGTATCTATATGTAGTATTATATTAATATTGTCTGCCTCCATGGCTAGACTCCCCAGACTGGCAGCTTCTTGAGGACAGGGGCTCTTTTGTTGTCTGCAGCACCTAAAAGAGTGCCTGGTATGTCACAGGCTCTCAAAAAATATTTATTGGATGAATTAATTCAGGCAATCAATTCTTCCTTCCTTACTGGTCGTGTATTTCTAGTTCCCACTGTGATGAAGACACAGCCCTGGTCTCAGGGTGCAAAGTCATAATTAAAGAATGGGAGGAGGGGCCCTAGTCAGTGTGGCTCAGTTGGTTGGGCATCATCTTGTGCACTTGAAGGCTTGCAGATTCGATTCCTGGTCAGGGCACATGCATGGGCTGTGGGCTCGATCCCAAGTAGGGTGTGTGCAGGAGGCAGCTGATCAATGTTTCATTCTCACATCAATGTTTCTCTCTCTCTCCCTTACTCTCTCTCTAAAAATCAATTTAAAAATCTAAAAAACAAAACAAAACAAAACAAAACAAAACAATGGGAGGAGGAGAACCTGATACTTTCAGAAACATCATCTCATTTCATCTTCACTGAAACCTTGTGGGGTAGGTATGGTTCTTATTATCCAAATGAGGGAACAAAAATGTAAAGCACCTGCTCCCTAGTTCCCCCAGCTAGAAGGTGGTGCAGGTATAGAGGATTTGCCCAGGGCCCTCCCCCTTTGGCAGGGGTACCTTGCTCTGCCGCTTCCTCTCCCGGTACCGCTTTCCAACGTCCTCCATCTCCTCCAGGGTCAAGGGCCTTGCCTCCATCTGGGTGTCAACCACAGGTACAGTCAGCAGGTCCATCTTGGGAGACTGTGGGGCTAAATTTACCTGCTTCTTGGACAGATGCTGTGTGGAAACTCTGTGCTTGGCAGACCTATAATCTGGGGTTGGAGAGAAGAGACAAAGGAAGAACTGAGAGGCTGCCCAGCCATGAAATCTGTCAAGCAGTTAAACAGTGTCACCAAGCAAGCACTAGGCCATCCCTCTGCTCATATCCCATATGTCCAGTCACTGCCACCTGAAGTGCACCTTGAAGGTGCCCTTTCTCTCCATCTCCACTCTGGCCTCCCTCATACAAGACGCCTCCTCCCTCTCCTGCACCATGGCTTCAGCCTTCCTGTTGCTGTTGTTATCCTCTAGCATCCTGTTTTCACCAAACAAAACAAGACCTTTAAAAGATATAAACCACATCACTTCATTCCCCTGCTTAGAACTCTCTCTGGGCTTCCCACAGCACTTAGACTAAAACCCAGAATCCTCTCTCTGGTCTGCAAGGCTCTGCAGGACCTGGCCTCAGCCGACCATTCACCTCGTCCACCTGACCCATCTCCTACTGCTCACTCCTCACTCACTCCATACAGCCACCCTCGTTTATTTCTGTCCCCCGAAGACTTTCCTGTCTCAGGGACTTTGCCTTTGCAGTTACATCTGCCTAAGATGTCCTTCCCAGGCAGGCTCCTTTCTCATCAGTCACTCAGGTGTCAGCTCTGATTTCTAGTTTTCAGAGAGGCCTGCTCTGACCAGCACTCTCTCACTCTGACCTATTGTCTTCAAAGCATTAATCACTACTGGACATCATCTTGGGTAACCTTTTCCATGGAAACTCATTGAAGGCAGGGGTGTTGGCTTTTTCACTGCTATGTTCCCATTCTTAGGATAGTCTAGCACATAGTAGGTGCTCAACAAAGATCCAAATGAATGAGAGCACACCACTGCTCCTGCCTTGGTTCAGGCCTGCATTGTCCCGGGCTGAAATGAAACTCAGGCCCTGCTACCTTCTGGTTTTGAGACAGTGGCAAGGTGGTCAACCTCTCTGAGCTTCAGCTTCCTCCTTGAAAAGCATGAATAGCAGCCCTGACATCTGGGGACTTGAAGATCAAATTGCGTGAATGCTGTGGGTAAAGTTACCCAGCCTAGAGAGGGTGCCCCCAAAGGCTACCACCTTCTCTCTTGTGAGCCAGGCACCCAGACTCTTGACACTGCTACCCCTTTAGGCAAAGCAAGTGTGCTTACCTTACTTGCTGAGGATCTCCACAGGAAAAAACTCAGCTATGACAGCTGTGACAGCACCATTTAAGAAAATACCTATTGCTTGGCTTCAAGTCTATTTATTGAGAAATAATAGGCTCCAAATACCTTTGCTGCAAATACGCATTGCAGCACACTGTGGTCAATGGCTTGCAGCCAACTACATGGATAGCGATTAGCTTTGGTGATTTATAATGAAAAGGCCAAAAGAGCATGGGTCGGAAAGCACCTCCAACTCAAGGTGACCCTGAGGATGCTTTGGACAAGAAGGGTGCGGGAGGTTACTGCTGTGGGGGTGTTAACACCCAGGAGGTGACTGTGGAAGCATGCAGGTTCCCTGGGACTCTGAGAGGGCAGAGACCCTGCCTGAGGGTGAGGATGCCTCTGCCCAGAGGCTTGTTGAGACTAGAGGTTGGAAATCTGCATGCTGTGTTGTGAGTGAAGCTCCCAGGGACTGAGGAATGACTGCTTTCAGGTTGCTGCCTGCTGTCCCCAAAAGAACCAACCAGTGAGGATGCTGAGCACCCAGCTCAGTGTGACTGGGAACTTCAGAGGCCCTGCCCCAAATCTTCACCTATGTAAGGTAAGGAACCCCTTCTACTAGCCCCCGGGGTTCTTACATGACCTTAGGGAGGACAAGGAGCTCCTCCTCCCCAAATATGTCTGAAATTAAATTCCTGCCAACCCAGCAGGTGGGGGCAAAGCAAGATTTGCTTCATTTGGAAAAAGAAAGATGTGGTTATATATGGTGGGTGGTAGTTAAAGGAGGGTTTTAATGTTATCTGTAGGTGTTCAGTTTTTCTTTACAACTAAACTATAAAGAAGCATGATGCACCCTCGTGTTGCGAATTCATATCCAGAGCTATGGCAAGTACATTTCTAATTTGCCTCTGTGCTTTGTGTGGACAGATGTGGCTCCAGAAGCACATGGCTTGGCAAATGGAACTTGAGCTGTGCACAACCTGTACAACTGTTCACAGCAGCCCTGCTAATACCTCTGATAATATTAGATACCTCTAGAATATCAAAGTAAACTTTCCAGTAAATTCTGGTTTCTGAATTTTAGTTAACTTTTTATCAATAAGGTGCAGATTAGTAGTAAGAAGGCCTTGGGACCACATACAAATAGAAAGGCGTGGCATTTGGCTTCTCAGCCTATCAAGTGGGCTTTGGTGGGCTGAAACTACCCTCTGAGAATCATCCTCTAAGGATAACGGCTGGACCTAATCTAATTTTTAATGGATAAGGTAGCCTGGTACTCCAGAAAATACCTACTCCTTAGTTGATCTCTGGGCCTGGAAATTCCAGAGGTTTGGCCTACCTACAGTAAGCCAAAGTTAGAGAACACACTCAGGAAATGAGCCAAGGCTGCATCTACTATGCTTGTTCCAAGACTGGGGAAGTGGAGGCATGGGGGTGGGGTGGATACGTACAATCCTTTGTAGATGACAGGGAGGTTCTCTGCTGGGTCAAAGACCACTGCTTGTAGGTGTTGGCCAGGATATCCATAGTGATGCTGTTGTGCTTTCCCAGAGAGCTGAGATAGATCACAATATCCTCTACCTCCTGGTTTTCCAGAGGGATACCAACCTGGAGAAGAGAAGCCCCAAAGTGGACAGGCTCCAATCCAAACATCATACCAGGCCAGCCAAGGCCTTGTCAACCTTGCTCCACCTTTCAGTCTGGTTTTATCCACAGCCACTCCCAGCTCACATCCAAGGTCTCTACCACAGGAGCTCAGAGCCCTTTCCTGGCCTTGAACACACTCTGTGCTTTCTCACCCTCTGCCATTACTCAGATGTTTTCCTTTCAATGCCTGAAAAACTCCTGTCCTTCCCTCAAAACCTGGTCTAGATATGCCATCATCTTTACAGAGTCTGTTAGTTTGTACTCTGAGCTCCCACCTGGCTTCATACCAGTCTCAATGCCAGCTTTCACATGATGGATTTGAAGGATTTCACATGTCTATCATCCTTGCCCATGAGGGACACATAAGCCTCCCTTAACTGAAAGAAAATAGGATTAGAAATATGATACATGTTACTTTTTTTAGTTCTGAGCAACTTTGGAGGAGTATAAAAAGCTTGCCAGCCATACTGAATATTCAAGAAGAAAAGTTTTAGCCCAGCTGGGTGAATGTCATCCCATGTACCAAGAGGTCACCGGTCCAATTCCTGGTCAGGACACACGCCCAGGCTGTGGGCTTGATCCCCAGTAGGGGGTGTGCAGGAGGCAGCCGATGGATGTTTCACTCTGACATCAATGTTTCTGTCTCTCTCTCCCTCTCCCTTTCTCTCTAAAATCAATAAAAAAAAGTATTTGTTTTTAAAAAGAAAAGCTTTAAAGGGGATATAAATTTGTTCTTCAGCTTCTTTAGATAGCAGTCATTGTTATTGAGCTTTCTTTAAAGCAGGTCAGAACTCTTCAGGTATGAAAGGATTCAATGTTTTATCTTTTTGGTTATGATGATTAAAAACCATTTATCTTTTTGTTGTCTTAATGCTTTGAAATGTTGTTCAGATAAGTACATGTTATAAAATGATGATGTGAAAACTGTGGTGATTTAAAACCATAAAAGGTGTGGTAGTCAGCTTCCTAGAATTATTTATAAGGTACCTTGGATTTGAAGTATATAAAAACTTAATTCAGTCAGACCAGGAGTCAGCAAACTTTTTCATTAAAGGGCCAGAAAGTAAATATTTAGGCTCCATGAGCCATATGGTCTCTGTCATAACTACTCAACTCTGCCATCATAGCATGAAAGCAGCCCTGACAATCCATAGATGAATAAGTGTGGCTGTGTTCCAATAGAACTTTATTTACAAAAACAGGAAGCAGCTGGATTTGACTCCTGGGCCATAGTTAGCAGACCCCTGCAAGACCAATAGAACCTTCTATAATGATGGAAATGTTCTCAATCTGTGTGGTCCGATAGAAGAACTGCTTATCACATGTGACTATTGAGAACTCAAAATGTGGTTGGTGTGACTGAGGAACTGGATTTTTAATTTTATTTATAATTAATTTACATGTGGAATAGCCAGTGAAAAGTGTGGTCCATGGACCAGTACCATGGGCATCACTGGGAGCTGCACAGAGATACTGAGTTAGAAGCTGTGTTTTCATAAGACCTCTATGTGATTCATATGCCAGTGACAGTTGGAAAAGCTCTAGAAGGTTCTAGAGGCAGGACTGAAGGCCCAGCAATCTCAGAGTTCAGTTCTGGGGTCTGATGGGCAGCTGGCTGGTAATGGGATCAGCTCTGTAGAATTTCCACTCAGACTTTCAGGGTCCGACCCGTGCAGGGGAGGTGTTAGGGGTCTGATGTGGCTGCAGGTTAAGCCACATTTTCCAATCTGGCTTTATAAGTAATAAGATTGATTCTGTAGTTTGAGTTCCCTGAGCCTCCTTTTCAATTGGTCCAGGACCTGAAGTGGCAGCATGGATACCTCCCCCACTCAGGCCAGCCTAGAGGGAGCATTGGAGGTACTTACTGTCTTCAGAGCCATAATGAACTTCTCCCTGGAGATCCTATTGTTCTTGCTCTGGTCTACCTTGTTAAATATATCCTGGATCTTGATCCTGTGGCTGCGCAGGTAAGAGTACAAGGCCAAGAGGGCAGAGGGCTTGGGCAGTCGGAGCTGGGGCACCGGTTCTTGGGCAGGTTGGAGGCATTTCTTCTGAAAGAGGCAAGCAAGTGGGGCAGAAGGGAGAGTTAAGGGGAGACAGGCCAATGGAACATGATCCCCAGAGTTAGAGAGAAATGGGAGAGAGAGGCTGAGCAGCTCTGAACAGATAGCAAGATGAATGCATAGAACACTGGATTCAGGCAGCCATGGGACAGTTGCATTCTGCCACAGAACTCCTGGGAGACTTTGCTTTGCTGGGCCTTCGTCTCCCTTCAGAAACAAGAGGTTTGAACAATATGAAAACTAAAATTTCATTCTTACCCACATCTCTCTTGTCAGATCAGTCAGTATTATAGTCCCACTGGGCTCTCAGGGCACCAAAATACATGCCCCTGCCTAGAGCCAGATGAGGTGCCCCGCTCCTCCCACCTCCCAGCCTTTGCCCCATCTGGGCCTTCTGCCTAAATACCTTTCCTTCTTTCTTTACCTGTGCAAATCCTCTTCCTCCAATTTCAGGTGAGTGGAAAAATTCAGAAATAACACTCCCTTACCTTGACGCAGCACTTGACAGTTTACAAAGGGCCTTCCTATTTCCTAGCTTACACCTCCCCTGTGCTCCAGGAGGATTGGGACCCACAACTATTCATGGCCTGTAGCAAACTGTAGTCATTATCCCTCCTAGGGTGGTTTTAAGATATAGCCACAAGTTCTTCAACTCTCCTACCCTCTGAGATGGAGAGTAATTCCCCTCCCCTCAAGTGTAGGCAATACTTAGTGACTTCCTTCTGACAAACAAATAGAGTGGAGGTAATGGTGTGAAGTTTTCAAAACTGAGGCTCCGAGATGCGTTATAGAAGGCACTCCTCCTGTTCTCTCTTGGACCATTCGCTCAGGGGGAAGCTGGCTGCCATGTGGTGAGCACACTCAAGCAGCCCTATGGAGAGCTCCAGGTGGCTAGGAACTCAGGCATCCTGCCAGCAGCCTTGTGAGTGAACTGCTTGGAAGTGGATCCTCCTACACTAGTCAAGCCTTCAGATGTCTGTGGCCCGGGCCAGCATCTTGAGATGAAAAGACTCTGAGCGAGCGCCACCAAGCTAAGCTCCTCCCATATTCCTGACTCAGAAAAAATGAGAAAGCAGCACTTGCTGCTTTAAGCCATTTGGGGGTATTTGCTATGCAGCAATAGATAACTAATACAACTCTCTTTAAGGACTTCTGTTTGATGCTCTGTGAAATGGGGCGAACAATCTCCATCCTGCTCCTGACACCCTCATCTGGCAAATGGGGCTGCTCACTTTGGTGACTCCGTTAGTAGTCAGATGGGTCACCATCTGGGCCTCACGCTCCTTGTGGATCATGTGTAATATCCTGGCCTCTGAAGGTGTGAGGCTGGACTTGTTCTGCAGCCACCTGTTTACGTTGCCAAATGACTCCAGTTCCTGCCGAAACTTCAACCTCCTGCTCAGCCAGGTTCTCAAGTCCTCCGGCGGCTCTCGGATGTCCCCTGCTTCCAGGGCTTTGAAGCTGGGGGTGAGTTGTGGGAGAGCCTGAGGTTGTGGTGTTGGATTGGTGGGGGTTGGATCTTCCTTTTGAGGCAAGATGATGATCCGCCGGCGGCTTTGAGGCAGGTGGAAGTCCTCCTGCTTGAACTGCTTGAAGCAGTGGGCAATGACCAGTTCAGGGTCGAAGACGGGATCCCTGCTGGCATTTTCATCATCGACTGAGGTCTCAGACTGCCAGAGCCCTTGAGGGAAGAACGTTAAAAGGTGAGTTTCTTTCAGGAAGAGGGGGTTGGAGTCAGCATTAACCCTGGGCCGGGCACTGGGGCCCCCAGGTTCCAGGCCCAGGTCTATCACTGCCTTCCTATAATGGTGAAGATAGTTACATCTGATGTGGCACCCCCAAGGGCAGGCACTATGCTAAGGGCTTTATGAGCTTTCTCTGATTTAATCATCTCAGATTCTACTCTTACCCCACCCTCTCCCCACCCCCAGTACTCCTAATTGGCAATCAGAGTGATCTTTTTTATTTATTTACTTATTTTATTTTTAAAAATTTATTTATTTATTTATTTTTAAAATATATCTTTATTGATTTCAGCGAAAGGAAAGGGAGAGAGATAGAAACATCAATGATGAGAGTCATTGATCGGCTGTCTAGCCCGCAACCCGGGCATGTGCCCTGACCGGGAATTGAACCCTTATTGTCTGGATTCTAGGTCAATGCTCAATCGCTGAGCCATGCCCGGCCAGGCAGAATGACCTTTTTAAAATGCCATTCTTATCTGCTCTGGTCATCCAAAGCAGCATAGCACTGTTAAGAGCAGAGGCTTTGAAGCCAGAATGTTCCAGTCTGGGTCCTGGCCCTGCCACTTACTGGCAGCACGATCTTGGGCAAGTCCCTTATCCTCGCTGTGTCTCAGTTTCTTCATGTGTAAACTGGGGATGGTACCCACCTTATTGAGTGGTGATGTTTAGAATCAGTCCATTTTGGCATTATTTTGTTCATATTAAGTGTGCTATTATTTTTTTTCCGTACTCACTCTTCTCCCATATTGAAACCCATGACTTTCCAAAATGAAGTCCCATAACCTCTTCTGCCATCCTTTCCTGACTCATTACTTGCCCAGCTTTCCTTACTATGTCCCACAGGCCTTGACCTTCTCTCTGAATCATCCAGGCCCCATCCTGCCTGCGGGTTTTGCACATGCTACTCCATCTGTCAGGAATGCTCCCTCCCCCATCCATCTCCTCCTCATCCTCCAGATCTCAGACCAAATGTTACCTCTCTGGCTCCCAGGCTCTCTTACATCCTCATGTTATCTCTGCATAACACAGCCCATAGTTTTCCTTCAGACCACTTATCACAAATATGTAAATGAAAGGTTGCAAACTGGCAACCCTCATGCTTAATGAGGCTTGGGGTCCTATTTTATTTGACATTCTTTAAAATTTTCCAATTTGAGTTACTTTAGGCTGGGGCATGCCCTCTCCAGCTTGCCGTGGTCCCCACTGTTCCCTATTGTCTCATATACAGCTCAATTCTTTCATTAATGTGTCTGGTTCAGGAAGACATTTGTGTTTGAAATCCCTGATTCAATTATTTGGTTGATGTTTATTTTTTTGATAGATTGTGAACCAGGTCCTCATCTCTCTTACTCCCTCACCTCTCAAGCCCCAGCACCTCCACAGTGCCAAGTGGGAGCTCAGTAGATATTTGGTGGATGAGTGAATGACAAATGGACAGACCTAGCAGGTTGGCTCTATGATTATACTCATTTTAAAGATAAGGACACTAAGGCCCAGAGAGGCCCAAGGTCACACAGTTGCAGATAAGTAGCAGAGCTAGGACATGAACTCTGGTTTGACTGGCCCCAGGGCTCTGTTCGTAGCCATTATCCCAGGCTGTCACTGATTTCTGCTGAGTTTCAATTCTTTTGTGCCTAAAATGATATAAACTGTGCTCTAGATATCTCCTGAAGCTGTTATGAAGATCAAATGCATAATAGATATCGGAGTGTTCTAAAACTCAGAAGAGATATAACACTATTATTAAAAATATTGTCACCATTTTTCTTCCAAAACCAAAACTCCTCTGCTCCATTACTGCCAACTAGCTTCCAGAATAAGGTTCAGTCTTTTTAACCTGATCCCACCTGCCTAACACAGCCCTACCAGCCTCTCTAATTTCTCCTTCTCATTCCTTCTGCCTCACCTTGTATTACACCCAAACTGTATCTGACTGTGGTTCCTCAGTTCATCCTCTCTACTCCCCCCAAAACCATGCTGTTCTCCCCCTGGAATGCTCTTCTCTCTTTCCTGCTTCACTTGAGTATTTTGTACTGATCCTTCCAAACTCAGCTCAGGCATCATCATCACCTGAAGCCTCCCCAACCCCTCCCTCGCGCCCCCTCTGGATCCCCACAGCCCCCATGCTTAGCCCCATCATAGAATTGATCATATTTTTCTGGATGAAGATGCGTTCTGAGTCTTTCCTTCCCAATAGCCTGTGAGTTTCTCAATGGCAAGGAATGTGTCTCAGTTCCCGTATGTCCCCAGTACCCAGCCTGACATAAAGTGAACATGCAGTACATTTGTTCAAGTCTCTTTACAATGCCCAGGTGAACCTTTCATAGTCAGAAAATAATGAGTGTTCATCAATGTGGACATAAGTGAATGCTTCTCAACAATCCATTTATCATTTCTTGAGGACAAGATGCTGGGTACACTGAGAATTTAGCTATTCATCAGGCCGGCTTTTACTGAGAATCACCCAGGGCTTGGTACTGGCCTGGTGTAGATCCAAGCAAGGCTGGGTGCCCAACTGCAGTGCACTGGCACAGAATAAGGTAGGGTAACCAGAGGGCTGATGAGGTGCTCTCAGTCGGGAGAGAAACACAGATGGAGACACCCAAGGAGGTCATCATGGAGAAGGGGGATGACGTGAACCTTCAAGAATGAGTCCGGTTTCAAGGGGTGGAGGGACCAGTATGGGCAACATGGGAGGCAGTGGGATTTTAGGATTTCAGGGTTACTCAACATTTTCCCAAGTTGGAAACACATTGTGTATGAAGTAGGAGGTGAATGGGAAATAAAGTTGGAGTCATCTCGAATGCTAGGTCAAAGGGTTTAAATTTTACCTTGCAGTCCATGGGGACACATTTAAAATATGCTCCTCACTGGTCTCGCTATTTCCACTTGTGCCCTCCCTAGACCCCCAAATCCATGATCTACCACAGAAGAGTCATCCCCCATCTGAAACCTTCCAATGGCTTCATTGAAATGGCTTTTCAGTCCTTTTAGAATAAAAAACTCCCTCCTAACAGTGGCTTACAAAATTACCCTTGCTGGGGCCCTGCTCCACTCTCCTCCCTCATCTCCTCCCCTCCCCTCCCCCTTGATTACTTGATCCTGCTGCACTGGCCTCCTTTCTCTTTGTCCAACTCTCCTAGCTCTGTCTTGGGTTTCAGTTTTGGCATTTTCTATGCCCTCTGAAGAGCATGGAATTCCCCAAGTTTCCCCCCTGGCTGAGTCCTTCTCATCATATAGTTCTCAGCCCAAGTGTCATCCCCACCCACAGTCACCCTGACTGCCTCTTGAAGGTCTGCGTGCCTACCACACCATGGAGCTTGCATTCTAGTGGTCTTTGGGGTCCTGTGTCCACTGATAGGAAAGTGAGGCAGGCTCTTAAAATAAAAGGGGTCACTATGTAGTTAGTTGTGTGTAGAGACTGAGAAAATGTTCCCAAGAGACTGATGAGGAAAGCTCTCAGAGGCTAAGTAGTCCTGTTGCCTACCCAGGTCGGGGAACTCTTTCTATAATGCCTCTGGCACACTTTGCCTCTGTACACCTCTGGGGACAGGGAGTTCCCTGCTTAACATTGGGGAAGTCTAATTCTGTCTGCTGGAAAAGACTTCCTTATATTGACCCAAAATTTGCTTCCCTGGAATTTCTACCAGTCCTAATCCTCCCCACTGATGCCTCAGAAAACACATTTATTCCCTTTTTCTGGAGCAGCCCTTCAGGTGTCTGGAAACAATTCAACTTCTTTTTTTTAATTCTCCCTTTTTCCTTTGGCTCTGATTCAAATCTCTCCCTAAGTTTCATCCTACTACTCTGGCCACTTGTTCTTGGGCCCCTCTTTTCCTACCCACCCTTTAAAAGTTGATGCCTTCCAAGCTTACACCCAGGCTCTCTTCTTTTTTTTTAATTGATTTTTTAGAGAGGGAAGAAGAGAGAGAGAAACATCGATGTGAGAGAGACACATTGAGCGGTTGCCTCCCATACGTGCCCCAACCTGAGACTGAACCAGCAACCTAGGTATGTGCCCTGACCGGGAATAGAACTCGCGACCTTCCGGTGCATGGGAGGACACTCCAACCAACTGACCCATACTGGCCAGGGCTCTCTTCTTTTTTTAAAAACCAATCTCCTTCACTCTTGTTTCTGTAGCCCTCTATATGCTGAGGACAAGCATATCAACATTTATGACTTGAAATTATCTCTAATTTTCTACATACAGTTGTTCCTAAAGCATGGCCACTTCAATGGCTTACAAGGATCTCAAACCCAACCAAGACTACATTTGTCCATGTCCCTGCTCCCACCTAATCTGGTCCTCCTGGTAGGTTCTCAATCATGTGAAAGTCACCTCCACCTACCAGGTCACCCTAATTACCAACCTAAGCATTATCTTTGATTAATCTTTCCATGTTCCCCATCCAGTCAGCCCCCAAGTTCCTGTAGTCCCCTCTAGTCTGGCCCCTCTTCCTCACCTCCCAGTATCTCCCACTCCCAACATTCTGAGTCTGCCAACTCAGTCTCTGCATTTGCTGATACTCTCGATCCAATCCCATCATTCCCAGTGGCTTCTCCATCTCCTGGCTCACAAAATCTTTCATGATCTTATCCCTTCTGATCTCTTGCCTCTCATCTCCAGCAACACTCAAACTACCAGCAGTTTCCTGAAGACACCGTGTTTCCAGGTCTCTGTGCATGCTGTTCCCTTGACCTGGAATGCCTTTTCTCCCCCTTTTGGCTTGGAGAATTCCTTGTTAAGCTCCAATGTAAATATCTTGTCCAGAACCTTGCAACTGTTCCTCCCCATTCCCTCTATTTAGCAGACCTCTTACTCTTGGATGTCACCCTGGACCCAGCATTCACTCCTTCTGTAATCATCTGTTTATCTGTCTATCCTTCACCTCTGATGTTGTAGTGCTTTGCTGAGGACTTGTCCCACAGCAGTCTATTGCCAAAAGTTTGAAGATTGATGGTCTTCATGCCTCCTCTCTGGTACCAAATGCATTAACGTCCAGTGGAGAAATGGAGTGAGCCTAGGCCTGGATACCTTTTCCAGGCACACAGGGGTGGGCCTCTGGTTTCCAAGCCAAGGCAAGTTGGCCCACTCCTCCACCCTGGGAATGGAAATCTGAAAAATGTGTAGGACCCGCCCCCAACTCCTTGGCAACTCCTCACCTAGAGGGGGGACGGCACAATGAGGCATGCACCCCTGCCCCCCCCCCCATGGGGCTGAGGGCTTCCTGGAGGCAGCGCTGCTTCCCTGGACCTTACCGAGGAGCGACAGGTTAAGAGCCTCTGACTCTTCATAGGAATAGTTCATGATCGAGGCGCTGAAGAGAGAAAGGGGTGTGTGTGTGTGTGTGTGTGTGTGTGTGTGTGTGTGTGTGTGTGAGCGCGGGCGCTCGCGCGCACGCACGGACTTGCTTCGTGGGGGTATCGAGGTACCTGAAAAACAGTAAATTTAGGTTTTGAGCTTAGAAACAGTCTGTTGCCTGGACTACGGACGCCCCACGCTGATTGGCTGATCGCCGCCACGGCGCCGGGAGCGCACCGGCGGAGGACCGCGATCCTGGGGATTGGATTCCTTTCCCCTGCCCAGGGAGGGGCCCTAGGAAACCGTGGCAGTGGAGTTCTCCGCGTGGAGAAAGGCAAGATTTCTTAGTTTGGTCCAGTGGCCCCTGAATGTGGAGTAATAAATCTCTGATTTTCCAGTAAACCATGGGGTCTTCAGCAGGTCTCTCTTTTTCCATCTCAGTGTTCTCACCCAAAGAACAGGTTCTGTTGTAGGAACCCGGGTGAGTCAAGGTCAAATAGAGGCAGCGTTTCTTGGTATGCTTTGCCAGTGCAAAACAGCATGCCACAGTTTAAAATTACAGAATCTGAGAACTGGAGTATTAATAATGAACATTTGAAATGCCCATCAACTAATGAATGGATAAACTAAATGTGGCCTATCCATGCAATGGAATATTGTTTAGCCATAAAAAGGAATGAAGTATTATTGATCCATGCTGCGACAGATGAATCTCGAAGACATTGTGCTAAAAAGCCACACACAAAAGGCCACATATGATTCAATTTATAAGAAATACCCAGACTAGGCAAATCTATAGACACAGAAAGCAGATTAATAGTTACCAGAGGCCCAGGGTGGTGGGGTATAGGGTTTCTTTTTGGGGTGATGGAAATGTTCTGGAATTTGATGGTTGCACAACTCTGTGAATGTACTAAAACCATTGAATTGTACACTTTAAAAATGGTTATATGATGAATTTTATGTTGTGAATTTTGTCTAAATTAAAAAATAAAACAAACACTGAGTGCTTATGCTGTGTATTCACCTTTACTGAGAGTCATCTTTGCGACTCTCTCGACAACCTACGGTAGACACTCAGATCATCCCTATGGGCCACATTAATGTAGCACTTTTGTAAGGCTCCATTTAAGTACTTACATGTACTAACTTAATCATCATAGGCCCCACTATCCCATTCTAAAGAGATTAGGAAACGGGTACAGGGGTCAGGCAATCTCACATGCAGCAAAGGGGAAAAGCCAGGCCTGGCTGTGACACTCCTGATGGAGATTCTAGGGGAGGGAATTTGACAGCAGGCCCTGCCACCCAATGCCCTAAGCTTGGTGAGCTTGACCTACCCTCCAACCCCAGCTGTGGCCCAAGGTTCCAGAGGCCTCTCCATTCTCTTAGCTACAGTATTTGGGCATCTTGTCTCCACACCTTACCCTTTTTGTTCCCTTTAATTGTGCGTGCATTTGTCTCTCCCTGTGAGGGTCTCTATAGAGCCTTTTCATCTTTGTACCCCTCCACAACACACAGCTTTGCCCTTAGTGAATGCTACTTTGATTTTTATTAAATAAAAACGTTATGGGGAGTTATGAAGTGATGTTTGCCTTCGGTGTGTGTGTGTGTGGCCAGTTTTCCTGTTCTCTGGTCAAAATCCACCCCTCTCTAAAAACAAACATGCTCACTAAAATGGAAACAATCAACTAGCCCTGCAGCACACTGCATTCTGATTCTGTTCACACACCACCTTACAACAAAGGTAGTTTCTTTAACAATTTCTTTATTTTTAATTTATTCAATCCATTTATTTTTTTTAAAAAAATATATCTTTATTGATTTCAGAGAGAGGAAAGGAGAGGGAGAGAGCTAGAAACATCAATGGGAGTCACTGATCGGCTGCCTAGCTCGAAACCCAGGCATGTGCCTTGACCGGGAATCGAACCCCAATTGCCTGGATCCTAGGTCTACGCTCAACCGATGAGTGGCACCCCGCCGGGCCATTTAATTTTTAATACCTGAAAATGGTGATTGGTCATTGAGACTTGCTAATAGGATTGTTTTGGCTTGTGAGTTCTTTCACAGGCAAATGTTTCAGTATTTGAGCTATAACATTATAGAACCTGTATTAAAAATGACATAATACTTAAAAGTTCCTGTCCTCCAGCTGGAAGATGAGAGATAGGTAAATGCTTGAGGTTGTGTGTTTTTTTTAACTATCTTTATTGATTTCAGAGAGAGGACGGGAGAGGGAGGGAGAGAGATAGAAATACCAATGATGAGAGAGTCATCATTGATCAGCTGCCTCTTGCACACCCCCTACAGCACACTGCAATCTGAATCAGCACACAGAATCAGAATGCAGTGTGCTGCAGGGCATGTGCACTGAAATCCAGGCATGTGCCCTGACCAGGAATCGAACCTCGATCTTCTGCATCCTAGGTCAATGTTCAACTGCTGAGCCACACTGGCCAGGCTAAATGCTTGAGTTTTCACAAAGGGATCAAAGTAACATGCATGAGCTAGAAGCTGACAGTATTGAAATGGAGCTGAAGGCAGATATTCAATTAGGTTATCAAATGGATGCTGGGGTCAAACCTCCAATTCCTAAAAGCCAACACATGAAAATCTTAATTTTCTTTGAGGGGTTAGCTTCTTTTAGTAAACATATTTTAAAAATTAATTGCCTGATACCCATTGTACTATCTTTTTACATGTTTGGCTGCAAACTCTTTGATTACTTCTTTTTTAATTGATTTAATTGGTATTAGAGAAAGAGAGGAAGGGGACAGGGGGAGGAAGGCAGGGAGGGAGGGAGGGGGAGAGAGAGATCAATTTGTTGTTCCACTCATCTATCTATGCATTCATCGGCTGATTCTTGTTTGTGCCAAGACCCAGGATTGAGCCCACAAGCTTGGCATATCAAGATAACACTTGAACCAGCTGAGCTACCTGGCCAGGGCTCTTTAGATTACTGCTTTGTATAACGATTATATATCTTTATAGAAAGAGAACAGAAAGTTTAATCTTTCCTCAAGTAAGACTGACAGAAATTTGCTTTGTAATATTGATAGTTTAGAAAAATTTTTTCCCCCTTCAAATCACATTTCATTATTGGAAAAGTCATATACATTTTTAGGATTGTTGTCAAATCACAACTTATTTTTTAAAGAAATCTCAAAACATGTTATAGCATGTTCAGTAGCAAAGACCAGTGGCACACACATTAAGAAAACGTAATTAGGTCTCTAGTTGGGTTGATTAAAATCTATACGCCTGGAAAAGTAGTTGGTTGGCTTAATGGAGCTCTGAAGAATCAAAGCGGTGCATAAAAAAACGAGTTTAAAAATTTCACAGTTTTAAGACAGACTTAATTTTTCATGATTTTCCCAAAGCCAGTCATGATATTTATTTAACTTATGGTCTTCAGGGTGCACCTGGAAGAAATTAGGAGACAAAGGCCTTATGTAAGTTAGTCATAAATACGTTTTTTAAATTGACTTTTTAAAGATATGGTGGAAGAACACACATTATGATAATATACCTGGAAATTATAACCTTTAACCTAATGGGATTTACAAATGCTTAAAATTATATCTTATATTAAGGTAATAGTTTACAGTTTATAAAGTACTTTCCAATTTAGTACCGATCTTCAGCAGAACCTGGGGTGTGAAGTAGTGATAACATGACCAAGCATTAATATGCCATTTTCCAGTAGGAGGTTATTAACCCTGAGAGTTAAATGAATTGCTCAGGTCACAACAAATGGTGGAGCAGGAATGGGCTTGGCCAGACCTATTAGCTAAATGCTTTAGGGTGGTGAAACACTAAGAGGGCAGTGTACCAGGCTACCTGGCAGTGCCCAACAGCCAGGACACAACCCAACTGCCTATGTGCTAGGCAAACTCAACAGAATGGGCAGATGAAGTAGAACCCAATTACCACAAAAATAGATTACTAGGAAAAACCCTAGTAAGCATTCCAAGCTCAAACCTGCCTGCTTTCCTGTGGTGTACTTTTGAAGACTAGCAGGATTGTGACAAGAAAACTACATCAGTCTTAGAGACATTACATGAATGGAATGACTGGAATAGGGCCAAGTGACAACTGTTGCAGGTCAGTCGGAAGTCACACCAGGAGTACTTATGGACTTGTGTCTATTGATCCTCTCCCTGCTGCCAATAACCGCATGCCACCCGCTGCCTCAAGCCTGGATTTTGTGACTGTAATAGCATGTGTCCAAGAAACACTTTTACCCATAGTAGTGAACTTATTTTGTCTCAGAGACGAAATGTGCTGGAGACATTCTGGCTGCAAGTGGACCTCACCTGCTTCCACTCATTGATGCAAAAAATTCGGTAGGAGTCATTGCCGTATTTGCCAATCCCATGAAGCTCAATCGGGTATCTCCACTGCTTCGTCAGATATTCATCTGAGAATACAACAGCCCACATATCAGGCCAGCCTCTAGGAAGATACTTTCCCCAAATGTGTGGTGATGAGGGGATAAATGGGAGAACAGAAAGGGACAGAAAAGAATCTTTACTAAAAACCCCAGTTGTGATTGCTCTTTCTCCTGAGTTCCTGAAGCACCTCTGTCTGAACATCTCATCTGCCACTTTCCATTATTATTTTGTGCAAACTCAAAGAGGTACTGTCTTGAGGGCTTTCTGCTTCATGACTTCTTCCTCTAATTATGCCCACATGACCTGACCCAGTACTGGGCAAAGATTTATTGCCTGTGTTGATGGGAGACTATGGTTTGGGGCAAGTTTTTAAATGCCTTTGGTGCTTGAGGTGAATGACCTCTATTAATGTAGCATTGGTGGACATAAAAGTTTAAGGTGTGGCTTTCTTAAATAGGCACAGTTTATGTTTTCCTTTGGGTATATGGGAAAGTACCTGAGAACTTGATAATGGTTTTTGCTCGAAGTTCGTAGAGACCAATAGGTTTAAGAAGTTCTGACACATCTCTCCAATGTGCGGTTCTTGCTACCTCAGCTGAAGGATACTTCTCCAGAAACTCCCAAAGCACAGGGATTGCCATTTTACCTGGGATGTAAAGATAACTATGTGATTACAAGCCTCCGGATGGGCTAATCTAGGTTCGGGTACTTCTTCAACTAGAAATCTCATATAGAGCTTTTTTTTCTTTTATCTTTTTAAGCCATTAATGAGAAGTCATTACCTAAACCAATAACCACTTTCAGAGTAAAAAACCAACACCAATAACCTATTTGGTTCAGTCCAGATTATGCTGTGACCTGGCCATATGTAATACAGGGGGGAAGGGGCCAAAAAAGTAGGTTTACAGTTGTGAGTACAGGAAAGAGTTTATTCTTGTATTATTATTAATTATTGTATTATTTATTTGCATTACAGCTGTAAACCTTTTTCCAACACCTGTATTAGTTTTTAAATAGTCAGATCATCAGATAACTAGTATAAAAGCATACAGAATAGAAGGTGTCAATGACATTAAAGAAAGCATTCAATGAAAAAAATGCTTTTATACATGACTAATGGTGGAGGAATGTTATATAACTGATTCTCATTGATGACCAAAACTAATCTGGAAGTAGAAAATAAGTGCAAATTTGCTCCTTAGTGCTACAAAGGATAGCCTCATTTTCTCATGGATGAAGAGTTTGAGGGCTGAAAGGGGGGAAGGCCTTTACCTGAGGTCACACATAGACTCAAAATCAAACTTGAACACAGGCTTCCCATCAATTCAGTGCTCTTTCTTATCACACTGTCTCTACTAAGGCACAGACTAAAATAATCCACAAACCTGAGGTCCGATTGAGAAATATAGTCGCTATGAGGAGCTTCCATGGATCGTGAAAAAGTGTTTCTTGGACAAGATTAAAAGGTGACCGAGGAGGTGTCCACTTCTTAAAGGCTTTGCGTCGTGGGGGGCTAAGAGCTGAACAAACACACTGCATCAGAGTTGGGTATCTGAAATAGATTTAAAATCTGATTTTCTGATTGGGAAAAGAATACCTTCTTTGTTATATTTGCTGGAAAAATATAGACTTGTTTTCCTTTTCTCTACTTGCGTCAGTGGGATGGTATCTTCTGAAAAGGAAGAGTAAACATGGGTTATAGAATCTATGGTTTAGCCTAAAGAAATATTCAGGGATGCAAATAATAGTAATAATAATAAAAACTACAATTATAAAACATTAAGTGTATGCCAGGCACTATGCTAAGCACTTTACAAAAATTAACCAGTTTAATCCTACTAATGACCTATGAGCTAAGGGACTTTTTAATCTCCACTCTATAGATATGGAAATTGAGGTAGGAAGAAGTTGAATAACTTGCCCAAGGCTAAGTAAGTACTATTAGAGCTGAAAGTCAAATCCAGGTAGTCTGGCATTTGAGTTCAGGCTTTTAACCACTCTGTTACACTAGTTCTTTATGACTTATGTTCAGAGTTCACAGTTCTGAAAAATTGGAATATGGAATATTTAAAATTATTACATTTGTACAATGTTGTCATTAAAATATTTTTGAGAACATAACATGAACATTTTCTCACATCATTAATGTTCAGGTGAAAAAAAGCAATATTCTACATATGACCCCAATTTAATTAAAAATAAATAAACAAACAAACAGTGTGTGTGTGTGTGTGTGTGTATACACACATATATATACAGAGATTAGAATAAAATAAACCAAAATGGTATAATGGTTGTTTCTGAATGGTAATTTTTCTCCTTTAATTTTCTGTATTTTCCAAAACTTCTGCAGTGAATATTTTTACACTTGCCAGAAAGGGGGGGCAGGGGGCACGCGGGATATAGACAAAACAGAACCTGCAGAAAAAACCTAAGATCACTATCTACTGGGAAGCTCAGTTAATTTACCAGACTATTTGACCAGCGTTATCAGGCTTCCCATTTCAAAAATCATCACATTTAATACTCCCTTGAACCATATCCTTTAAATTTGAATGTCAGTTAATAACACCTTGTATTTGTATAGCATGAAGCCATCTTTTTCACTTCTCATTTTACTTTACAATAGTCTTGATATGAAAAACAGCACTAGTGAGGGTTCTTACCTCCATTTTTCAGATGAAGAAAAAGCCTTAGAAATTAAGTTACCATCCCAAAATGATAGTGGGACTGACTAGAGACTGGGATAAGTATCCAGTCTCCAGATAATTAGTTCAGTGTTTTTTGCCATCTAGTTTAAACAGGTAAAGCCTAGTAGAAAGTAAAAAAGAGAGAACAAAGGAAACTGAGCTTACTAGCTACCTGATAATTTTTTCTGTGAGTTCCTATAAATAATTATTAACTAGCTTCCTTTATTATTTGGAAACTGGGAAATTTCTACTTAAGCCAATGGTCTTTACTATTCCAATGCACATTAACCTAAGGGTACTTCACCTTACATTGAGAACTAGACTTTATGTATAGGATAAATAGATACTTCCATTGCAATTGCAAAAGGATGTTTTTAATATTTAATTTGACCATTATACTAGCAATAAATTTACATAAGCCTCAAGGATTTAAAGAGCTCAAAGTCTTTAAAGAACAGACTTGAATTCTTATGCAGGTCACAGGTATAGATGGCCACCTTCTATGAAAGGGGAAAATTCTAGGTACAGCAAAGACATAAAATCATGAGTGGGCCTGAGAGCAGGAATCAAGTCTAACCCCCTGCTCCACCAATTTGTCCAGGCTGTCTCCCCACAGGATTTAAGTAAAATTACTATTGTTCTTTAAAGGAGTTATTCATTATACCATAATGGCATAATGAATAACTAATATCAGGGCTGTCAAATGGTCTCCTTTTTATCTCTTATTCACTGAGGTATTATAAAGGCAAAAGTACTCAGTTCTAAACTTTGTATTAAGAACGCATTACAAATAATAGATGAACTATGTGAGTAGTTTTGCATTATTTAGAGCTCTAAAACAGTTTAGAGAAGCATTACATTATCATGGATGATAAAAATGACTATGATATATACAAAATTAAATGGGAAGTCACATATCCGTAATAAGTAACAGGAGTGGTGTGAAGAGAAAGCACTGACTATTCTCAACCAGTTTATGTATAAAAGGAGTCTTCCCCAAACCTTTTCCAAGTGAAGTCTTTTCATTTCCCTCAAGCTGTAAGATTAATGGCTGGAAAGGAAAGCACTGTTGAGGAGATTCCCAGCTGCTGCACCAGGGAGAGATGGTAGCAGCTGTTAGTGGCACAATTTTCCTTTGCAGGGGGCATCAAGGCTGTAGCCAGCTGATTCCCTCTGACAAAGGAAGGGGTTTGAAGATCAGTTAGACAAATATAGGATCAATTGGTAGAATGTATCTGATTTTTGGCCCTATTTCTTCATTCTACTCCCTTATCTTTACCAGTTATAGGCATAAAATACAGTATCCCGGAGTATAAACCTCATCACATTTTTAATAGAACTTTAATGTACTAAATACCTTGACATATTTTCACAGCAGTAGAGTCTTTCTCAGTTTGTGAGCAGTTGTTGTCCAGTTCAGAGCCACATTTTAAACTGTCAATATGCAAATGTTCCTTCCTTTCCCCAACTTCTACTTCTGTTATTTCCTCAGAGTCTAAAACGGTATCCTCTCTCTTCTTGTTGTGTTCTGCTTCTTTGGTTGAACATAATTTGTTTATGATGCCAACAGTTGCTTGTTCAACATTGAAATTTGATCGTGAACTCAATGATTTTTCTTTTACAAGTCTCTTTTCTTCATTGGCCACACTGAGGGTCTTGTTGCTTGCTGTGGCATCAGAAATACAGAAAGTTCTATCAAGCTGACTTTCTTGTACAACAGGTTCACTTTCAACATTTGCCTTATTATGCACAGATTTTCTTTTTCTATTTCTTTGAACAGAATCTGGAAGACTTTTCCAGCACCCTGTTTTAGTTTTCTTAATTTGAATTACTTTCGAAGTAGTCATCTTCCCTCTGGACTTTCTAACCTTTCTGGAGTCAACATCATTAACACCTTCACCTTCTTTCAATAGCAAATGCATGGAAGTGAAGTTAGATAGTTCTTTGCTATTTTGTGATTCCAAACTACCACTTGGCAGAGGAAACACATCTTTTTTCCACCTGCTTCTTGTCCTGAGGTTCCGGTTTGAAATGCTATTTTCACTTTGCAGTTGGGATGTCAGAGCTGCCATGCTGCAGTCTTTATATCTTGACTTGATGCCCCTTTTAGAAAGTACAGTAAAATCAAAATCCTCTGGCTTAAGAGAAGTCTCTTCATTTTTGTGAAGATAATTAGCAAGTGAACTTTTGGATCTGAACTTCAGTCCTTGTGGGCTAAAAATGATATTAAAGGAAACACTGAGTAAATAAAAGTGACTTTTAAAAAGAATCGGGCCACATTTCAGATGCTTAATTAATAATTTCCAAATGTTGCCACAAGTATTTGTCATTTAAAATAAAAATAGTGATAAAACTGTATTTTTAAATAATTTCCTCTATGAGGAGGAATATGATACTATAAAATAATTTTACAAATATAACTTAAATGCAACTTTACCATTAAGCATTCACAATAGGAGAAAATGTATGTACTTGTCCCTAAATCACTAGATAAAACTGAAGGAACAGAATACATAATGGTTTTGTGGTTAAAACAGAAAAAAGTCAAGATACCTGCTATGTTTTCCCACTACCTGTTTAGACAAAATTATCTGGCTGCACTGTCTTTACCACCTTGCATGCTCACCTGATAAAATATACATCATATCTTCCTGCTGTTTTTCCAGATAACCTTTGCTTCACAACTCTTTCCCATCCACATGGGACAGACTTACGGCATTCTGTCATTTCAGCATCACCAAACTGAGCAGAAGCAATGGGTTCTTGTACCAGGGGATTACACTCACTGCTGCTTTTTATCACCATTTGTTTTTCATCTTCTACTCTTTCTGATCCCAGAACAAGACTTTCCTTGCTGAAAAAACAAAGTACAAGTGATTAAGTCATTTAACATGGATTTTCTAGTGCTTATTCAATTTTAATCTATGACAGAGCAGGAACCACAGAGACTATTTGGATTATGGGAGAGATTAAAATCAATATGGACCAGTCTTATGCTATGGGAATATCTCCCTGCCCTCCAATGTCTTCCTGTTCTCCAACATGGGTTAAAAAGGGTTGAAACTCTCTACACAATGAAAGGCTCAATCTATTTGCTAGAAACTTTTTAAAAATTAATCATTAAATTGGGGCTATTATAAAGACTTCTGGTGACACTGGCATAACTTTAAAAAAATGAACCAAACACTGAGCTCTTAACCTGAGATCAACAGACCTGCTAAAAGGAGTCAGTGAGGAACCCTCCTCTTCCTCAAATAAGTTATGTAAAAATGTTATATATATATATGTGCAACTTTCTGGGGGAGAGTATCACTTTCATCAGATTACTTACCAAAAGGTAATTTCTGACAGAGAATTTTCAAATTGCTTTCAATCTTGATCCTCATGATAACCTTATGAGGTGGGTTGGACAAGGATTACTCTAATTTTACTGATAAAAGTGAGCAACGGGAAGATTAAGTTACTTGCAGAGCTGATATCAGAACCCAGGTCTACTAAACCTTGGTCTAATATACTTCTCCCCTTGTTCTAAAAACTTTAGTAGATTGTATCCTAATCACTAAATCACAAGTTTCAAAAATTGAATGGGTCTATAAAGATGTCTAACACAAGTTTTCTACAAATAGGGAAACTAAACAACAGCTAGTGACTAACTAAAATTAGGGATCGAGGTCTTCTAACATAATTTGGGGTTATATAATTTTGGGGAGCTTGGTGGATCTTGAGAAATTATATAGTCCACAATTTTATAGATAAGGAAACTGAAACCTGGTAAAGAGCACAAACTTTAAAGTCAACATACTGGGTTCAAATCCCAGCTCTGCCATTCACTAGCTGTGTGTCCAGGAGCAAGTTACTTAACCTCAGTCTCCTTTCCTCATCTGTAAAAAGTAGATAATACCTTTTAAGGTAGTTCTGAGGATTACATTTTCAAAGAAAAGTAGGTAGCTCATCTTAGCTCCAGATCACACATATACAAGTACTCAATACAACACGGTAGCTTCTTCTGTTACTGATCACAGGACCCATTTGGGGGGCACTGTAGGCTGCTTACCATGACATCTCCAAGGTCCTCCTAGGATCCTCCAACCCAAGCAGCCCTCTCCTTGTACCACCTCCCTGCTCCTCCCAGCTCCCTCGTCATTTTGGGTAAGGAAGTCAGAAGCACCCCAGGGTTGACCCAACCGTAATAGTACTAAGCTCCAGCCTTAACTCCTAGTCACTAACCCTTGAGCATCGAGGTCTCGGTCGACTCTAAGTTAGAAAGGCCCACCCACCTTTTATTCCCCCGCTCCCACTTTACAGATGGTGAAACTGAGGACCAAAAGGGGAGAGTAACTTGCCAGAGATCACAAGGCGGGTCTGGGACTAGGCTCTCACTGGAGGTGACGAAGGGGGCAGCTCCACCGTCCCACAGGCTCGGACTCTCCATCCCAGCCGTGTCCCTCAAGCGGGCTCCGACTGCACCAATGGGCTGACAGGGTGCGACGCCCTAGATGTGGAGGAGAGTAAAATATGAAAACTTATTCGGCTCAGATGCTACGCTGAAACCAAAAGCTGAGGTCAGTAAAAATGGGTTAGACTCCACGGCCACTTTCCAGCCGCCCACTCCGCCGCACCAATTTCCACGGCTCAGCCAATCAGGTCCTTTGTCGAGGAAGACGCACCGCCCTCCTCCCATCCTGACCAATCGCACGCGCCTCAGTTGCGCAGACGCCTGCTAGGCTCTAGTTCCATATTCGCTTTTGCACTTTTCCAGCCCTCCTTTTAAGACATGCGCAGTCGGAACTCTGCTGCGCGCGCGTAGCTCATTGCGCATGTGCGTTGTCAGGGGTAGCTCAGGTAGCCAAAGTGGCTAGCGGAGAGGGCTTGGTGGCTGAGGCGGGGAGGAGGGGCCCGAGGCGTGAGGGAAGGCGCGATGAGGGCCGTGTTGACGTGGAGAGATAAAGCCGAGCAGTGGTGAGGAGCCGGGCAGTCGGGGAGGAGCGGGAGGCCGAGACTTGGAGGGGATGGCGGGAGCCTTTGCGTCAACTCCTGTGGTTGCTAGGGGCAACGGGCCTGCGGCCTAGGCTGAGGGCACTGAATCCCGGGACTGGGCGACTGCGAGGTCGCTCTCCCACCCATTTGCAGGCGGAGAAACTGAACCCCGGAGAGGGGGCAAAGGGATGTACAACGCGTGAGGTAGTGGCCTGTCGAGGTGGTTTTACATATTACATAGTCACAATCTGGTCTTGTCGCTCCCTTACTCACATTCCGCCCTGGGCTCCTTTTACATCCACGATAATGTTTCTTCAACTTAAGATTTTTTGCCATATCCACATATTGCCCATACCCTTATTTACTTGACTTTTTTTCTAAATTGTCTCACTTATTTTCGCCTCAGTATGCTTTTATGTTTTATGTAAAAAATATATTTTATATATAAAAGCATATTCTATATGCCTCATAGCTCCGTATTTAAAAATCAGTATCACTTACTGTAATAAGATAACTGTAAAACCTAAAGCAAGGAGCCCTAGCCGGGTTGCTCAGTTGGTTGGAGCGTGGTCCAGTACACCAGAGGGGTTGAGGAATCAATTCCCAGTCAGGGCACATACCTAGGTTTCCGGTTGATCTCGGGTCGAGGTGCTTACGGGAGGCAACCCATCGATGTTTCTCTCCTCCCCCCCCCTCTAAAATCAATAAAAAGCATACCCTCTGGTGAGGATTTAAAAAACAACAACCTTACAGCAAGGAGAAGCAGAACTGTTAGTAAGTTGTAGCTAGATACTGTTGCTATGGAGCCTTTAAGGCTGAGGTGGGATGTCTCTAGAACTGGAGATTTAACAAGTATGGTCAGAGAGGTGCTTGAGGTGAATAGCATAGAACGGAGACGTTCTCCTATGCTCAATTAGAAGGTTTGAAAGAATGAAAAGAGAATGACATCCTCACCTTATGATTCAATGTTATTTAATGTCCTATTCCATTTTTATCACCTAAATTTATCACAGCCCTCTGAGGTAGGTACTGTGTTTACCTCTATTTTGCATATGAGGAAGCTAAAGCACAGAGAGAGTGTATGACTTGCCAAGGCTACACAGTGAGTTAAGTGCTGGAACCAGCTTTCAAGCTCAGGTCTTCCTCATTCCAAAGCTAATGCCTTTAGCCACTACATTAATTTTTCTTTGTGTTACTGAGGCTGCAAACTCAAATGCCTGCAGGAGTCAGGAAGACAATATCAATGGGAGATGTTTGTGTGCATCTAAAACACAAGGAATTATCTGTTTTCCCTGAGTATTAGTCTATTCTATAACCCACTTTTCGTGAAACACATAGCTTATCGTTTCTGTTTTTAATAGAGATTTGAGTTTTAAAAAATTCCTTTTTACTTTTCTCTTAACTCTGTTATAAAAGTGCCCACAGCACAAGATGATAATAACTGGCAACTGAACATTTGGCTTTGATGCCAGAGAGTAATAAGGAGTGGCAAAGAGTGTGGCAAACTGGAGAGCTCATGCTCTGCCTAAAAGGGGCAGCTGCTGCTCAGATCCTGCCAAATACTGTCCTGCAGGAATTGGCCTAGTTTGCTCAGATCTTCCTTTTTTCTGGGTTTTTATGCAAAATGTCCTAATTTTTAAAAGTTGGAATTTAATCTTAAAAACAACAACAAAAACCACATGTGGGCCAAATAAAACATTTGCTGGCCAAATACAGCCTGATTTGCTCCCAGTTTTCAACCTCTGGCATAGAATTTTGATCATTCCTCTTGTGGTACTTAGAATTTGTCTAGTGCAGTGATTTTCAACCAGTGTGCCATGGCAAGCACACCGGTTTACCACAAGAATTTTTAAAACATGTAATACCTGACTAATCAGGGGCACTTACCTCTTTTCCCTTAGATTGTCAAATAAAAAAATGACAACAGCCAACAAAATAATAGCCATCTAGTGTGAATGACTTTTTTTTTTTTTTTGGTCAGATTGGCAAAAAATATATTTTTTGGAGTGCCACAGAATTTTAGTAATTAGTTTATGTGTGCCATGAGATGAAAAAGGTTGAAAGTCGCTGGTCTAGTGTAAGAGCTTTTTGTGATTCTACTTATCTCAGAGGTCTATAAAACCCTTAAAGACAACAGCTATGTTTTATTCATTTCCAAATTATTCCAGAGCCAAGTCAAATAAATCAGTGGTTGTTGCGACTATTTGGTGGATAGATGGATAGATATAATAATGAATGCGTGAGTGAATGAATGATGAATGAAGATTGGTTATTTAGTTTTTGGCCCATTACAGGTTTGAAATAACCTATTAGAGTATGGGTTGTAGGGGTTCTGTAGATCAGCAATCCTGATAACAGCTACATATGCCAGCTGATGGTGCAGAATGAGACAAAACAGAACAAAAAACTGTAACAGATAGATAGTAGAACCCAAAAAATCCCAGATGTCAAAGATAAGTCCTTCACAATAAACTAGCTGCTCTGATCTTTTGCTTCCAGTCTAACCATCAGTATCAGCAGGAATTCTCTTTTTTGAGTTGTTACTGTGATCTGTTACTTTACTTCTCATAAACCTACAGTAACTCCCAGTTACCGTCCACATCAAATTGTGCACTTTATTAGGTGGTCCTACTTACTCCCCACCCCTGACTGCTAATGTTTAAATTTATGCTTTTCAGTTCAGCTAAAAATTCCATTTTCCTGTCCAAAGGCCCTTCCCAGATGCTATATAATTCTACTCTGAACTCCCTCATTTTCTCCCTTAAAAGATCTGCTTCAGGTTCATTTCTACTAGGATGCCATATTTGGCTAGCCCAACTTATTCCAGTCAGGCCAGCATCTGTTATAAACCTAGTATTTCCTGGAGTTAATTCACACCAGCTAGTTTAGCATTTACTGAGTACTTGCTGTAGGCCAGACTGTTTACATGTGTTACCTTGTTCAACCTACACAACAACTTATAAGGTCAGAATTGTTATCCTACTTACAGATGAAGAAACTGAGACTTAACAAGGTGACATAATTTGCCTAAGATACCAAAGCAAGTAAGTGGGGCTGGGTCAGATTGTGCAGGATTCAGAGAGGCTCCTTGGGACTTCAGTTTATAGTGGGGTAGGCACAGGGTTGGCAGAGGACAAGTTGCAGGACTCCCCCCCCCCCTCTGTTTCTGTTCAATGGAATCTGATGATATATCTTTTTCATAAAAGGGGGCAGGGTGGGAGAGAGGGACATTCTATAGTATAATAGACTGCCTATAGAAGGGTGAGCTCTCCAGCCCTGGAAGTATTCAAGCAGAGGCTGGATGGCCATCTATAGGGAATTCCTGCCCTGGTGGAGGAGTTAGACTACGTGACAAAGTCTAGGGTCTTTTCCAGTTCTGAATTTCTGTGATTTCATGATGTAATTAAAGTCCAAGGGATTCAAGATAAAATATTGTCAGTTTGTCGATTATATTGATTGACAAGATCAATGTGTCTAGGACAAGACCATGCATGTGGCCCAGCTGGGCGTGGCTCAGCAGTTGAGCATCGACCTAGGATCCAGGAGAGTGCTGTTCGGTTCCCTGTCAGGGCACATACCCAGGTTGTGGGCTTGCATGCAGGAGGTAGCTGATCAATGATGACTCTCTCATCATTGATGTTTCTATCTCTCTCTCTCCCCCTCTCTTCCTCTCTCTGAAATCAATAAAGATATATTAAAAAAAAAAAGAAAGACCATGCATCTGGGTTCACAAATGTTTATAACGGTAATTTCCCTCAAATAGCATGACTCTAATGCAAAGGACATGAGATAGTATCTGAAACTGTAAAATATAGAAGATTATATAATTCAGAGCTAAATTGGATTGTATAGCACAGTAAGAGTGTAGATTGGAGTAAATCAGACATATATGTTATACTTTAGGAAGGCAAATTTCAAGAAATTAAGAGAAATTGAATTTTCACATCTGAGGGAATATAACTTAAGCCTTGGCTCAAGTGAGACACTCAGAAATGATTTTCTGATAATTCAACCCAAAATGATCCTTATGAAGAACAGGCCACACAGTAACCACTTTGAAGAGCTCAGATATATACAAGGCAGAAAGGGAGCCACATATTCTAGGATTACTGTAAAAGAGAGGTGCAGACCCCCTCCAAAATCTAATACCTTATCATACAACCCACAGGTGGCAGGTGCTTTGCACAAGGCTGGCTTATGCACAGCTCTCTCCTTGTACTGTAGGTGAGGACTAAAACTCAGACAGGAAGTTAGCTTTTCTGGGCTCAGCTCCTCTCTACTTTTCACTCTATTGCCCCACTTCTCTTCAGTGTGAAATGTACCACGTACGTTTTCCCCTAGACTCAAAGAAAGAAAGCCTGAGAAACAGGAACCCAGTCTGTTACCATGTAACAGTGAGGAAACTGAACTCAGGGTCTGTGTTTGCTTTTATCAAGAGGGATGCCCAACTGGAAAGGATCTAACAATCACCCTTGTTCCAGCTTCTCCATCAGCCAGCTGTGCGACAGCAGACACAAGACTTGCCTTTGTTCTTTAGTTTCCTCACTGATAAAAATGGGCCAATGGGGTCTGGCCTGCCTACTGCATTATG